CTTCCTCAAAAGTCATTTTAGAAACTAAATTGTAAATGCTTATCCGCATTATGGACCGACCCTCAGATATCAATTTTCGGTCTTTTCTCATGTTTAGCTATCTTAAATCATTCCTAAACAGCATGACATTCTTCCGAACACAAATCATAATCGTTGAATCCATAATTCAATTGAAGGACCAGTTAATAGTAAAGTCAAGAGTAGTTAAGGTCTAAGTCAAGGGAAGTCCTTCAAAGTTTTCGAAAGTCTTTTATAAATGTTATAACTTTGTTTTAAGATTAAAAGTTCATGTTGAGTAAAGACTGAAATTTGAAGTTCATTTCTTCAGAACTTTATGGGGACTATGTATTCCATAAGGGTTTAAAATGTTTTCACATTTAAACAAGAAAGGAAACCTCGATTTCCAAACGGCCTACACGATAGTTTTCAGAAAAGAGTAATCGCTTAATAAATGAAGCAAGAGGGGAAACTTTGATTTCCAAGATAGCCTTTGAGCTGAGTTTTTGAGCACTAATCTCAAATCACAGAAGAAGTATGTTTCTTAACATAAAGAGCTAGTATCATATTTTAGGAGTAGTATTGAACACCGATATGGGGGATAGTTCAGAGAATCCACAACCCCCATAAACAATGTAGCCATCATGGGTAGAAAAGGGTCATACTTTTTAGATGAATCCTTTTTGCATAGACTAGTGGATCCACTTAGTAGTTCATGTCTTATACTTGTGGTAAGGTATAGGATGCGCTAGCAGCGTGAGGAATATCGTTGTATCATCACAATGTCTCTTATGTGATGGTTGTCGGTTAAAGAAACTCCCATAACAGTACTTTGTATTTTTATATACATTAGTTTATTTGTATTTTTACATACATCGCAGAGTTATTTGTATCTTTGCATATACACAGAGTTGACATCATGTTGTAAAAAGCTTTTCTTTATATTGCACTTATTTTAAACTTTTTTATACTGAAATAAGTCAGTTATGTTAAGTGAGTTGAGCCAGGTTAGTTCTTCAGTTTCTTTCACATTCTTTTCAAGCCTATGTTGTACTTAACATTCCAACTTGCATACTCGTACATTCAATGTACTAATGCCAGTTGCATCTTATTATGATGCAGACACAGGTAACTAGAGGATCAGCATCTAGCGCATCGTTTATCCAGTAAGCAATTAAGAGTCTGTTGGTGATCCTCTTTGCATTCCATAGGAATCCTTTTCATTGCTTTTAGTTTTAGTATTAGTTCATTTGGATGTGGTGGGCCTCTCCTGACATCCATCTGAGTTGTTTATAGGCTTCATACACAAACATATAGTCAGTCAGTTAATTCAGTGTCTTTACTTTTCATTTCATATGTTAAAGACTTAAGTTTGCATTTATTGCCAGTTGAATGTTCCTTTATAACATTCTAGTTACTTCATAAATGTGTATTGTAACACGCCGTATTTTAGGTGTACAAGTCCTACACATATGGAACTTGATTTAGCTTGGTGGTATAGGTAATGGACTTGATTTCCTAGATGGATGGTGACAATAAAGAAGCTATAAGAGTAACTCTCGTATATTGCAATATTGCACAATCGAGTGAACGTCAAATTTTAGAAGTATTTTAATTCTGGATCGAAGGGCTATGTGTAAGTCTAAAAGTTAAGGTGATCAAGTGTATATAAGTTTTGAGTTAAACTAACGAGATTAAGCTCAGAAAGAGAATAAAAGAATTGAGGTGCTTGTTGGATTTTATAAAGATAGCAGGTGTCACTTACTTGCTTAGCTCAAATGGGCTAGGTAGATGGGGAAGATTAGTTCATGCATTAGTGGGCTCATGTGAGGCCCAAATTAAATAAAAAGGAAAAGGGAATGGAGATGAGGCCTCACACCAATCTGTCCAAGTCCAACTACTTGAGCCCAATAAAGACTAAGGCCCAAATTAAGGGTATAGTTCTGGGCCATGGTTTAATATTAGAAAGGGAAAATATTGAAGCCCAATATGAGTACATAAAGGGCCCATTTTGTGTATATATAATTCCAAGTAAGTGCATCACCTACTTGGACCAAGTTGACGAATTAGTGGCTGATATTAAAACTTAAGAGGTGGGGAAAAGTAACACCTTTATAATCCCAAGTTGCTGGCCATTTCCTCACTTTTAAGAATAGATAAAAATCAGATTTATCTCTAAGCTTCTTCTCTTTCTTTCAAAGCATAGTAGCAACCACAAGTTTCCTAGGGTTCTTGGATAAACCCAAGCCCATGCAAGGTAATATAAGTGGAATTAGTAATGGATTTAGCCTAATTCTCTGATGGAATGCTGGATAAACATGTTAATTAGTTAAGAACAGGTAGAGGACTGAATCTGTCAAAAGTTTATTTGCTCACTTTCCTTTGTTATTGAGAGGCTATTCTCCTTTTCTTTGGTCTATGTGAAGGGAAGCTCAAGTTATTGAAGAGTTCAAATTAAAAGAAAAACGAGTTATAAGAATTATGGTAAACTGACTGCCCTATCTTTGTCTTCTGTAAACACGAGTCTAAGTATGATAATTTAAGTGTATTGCTGATAAGAACTCATGGCATGATGATGGGAAACTATGGTTTCACGTCCTCTATTGTATGTTGGATTGTTATGGCTGTTTTTGGGGCAAGTTGATGTGTAGACATATTGGGGATAACTTGGTTGATATCTGGGAACTGTGTAAATTGCTGATATTGAAATATAGCTGTGTAGTGTACAAATGAAATAAAACAAGGCGGGGATTGAAAGAACAACCTCAGTTTAGTAATTACGGGTTTGTTGCCCGAGCATTATTGTTGAGTGAGATTGGACTGTCTAAGCATGTTTAGTAACTACTAATACTAGTTTATCACCTACTCTATTGTAGAAAAGTATTTGAAAAGAAAGAAAGGTACTTCAAGGTAACTACAAGGTGGTACAACAAGGTATGTAAGGGTTCTCGATTTCCTACTAATTGGCATGGAATCTAGACACGTCCTCGACACATAGAAGCAGCCTACCAGCTCCAACATGACTTATTGCCTTGTTCTCACTCTTTTACATGTCTACACGTTCCAATACATGTTTATTGTCAAATCTGTACATATAAATTGAATAGCCTGCATAATTTCTCATTTTAACTAAATAAGGTCCATATGCTATTTCAGCTCCTATGCATTTCAGTAATTGTGAACTACTCTCTACTTTGTTGTTCTTACATTATATGATTATTACATGTCACTTGATGACTACATAGTCCCACAATCCAAAAATGCTATGACCACCAAAATAATCATCTCAAATGTTAATGGAAAGTTATTAAATGAATGTGCTTATTGATGGGTGGAATCCCAGGGGTGGAAGAATCACCTAGCATGGGTCGATCCAAAATTATGGGTGGTATCCCAGGGGCTAAAGGAAAGCCTAGAACGGGTCAATCCCGATTTATATGTCTACCACTGATCAACTGGTCAATTGTATTATATGTTGTGCATAGAGTGTAAAGTAAAGAATGATAAAGTAAAGAAAAAAATGTAAAGTACCTGATTCCATAGTATGAGAAAAGGTGGTCTTGTATTCTTACATTGGTATATGATTTCATTTGAGTTCATATTTCACATACAGTACTTTATCCCTTACATACTCAGTACCTTCTCCCGTACTGATGTCTCTCTCGGGGGACCTGCAATTCACGTTGCACGTACAGGAGCTAGTAGATGTCCCCAGCAGGAGAACAGGACATCCATCGGCTATTGGTGAGCTCCAGGTTGATTCGGGGCTTTCTAAGTGTATAACATGTATTTTAATATTATATAGTAGCTGAGTGTAAAGCGAAGCCTGTCCCGACATTAACCCCATAATCTTTTATCATTTAGAGGCTTTGTAGACTATGTATAGTGAAGTGTGGTTGTGCCTCGTGTCTTAGACACCATGGTCCCAACGGCTATGTCATGTGCACTTTCTTTTTGTTTGTTAATACTGTTTAGTTTCATGAAAACATGTTATCCACTATGGCAACACCTTTAAATGTTCATAGATAGAGCATGATTACAGGTTGGTCCTCCCGAGCCTTCTCGGCAACGGATGCTGGTTCGCCTTAATGGGATTTTAGGCGTGACAAAAGTGGTATTAGAGCAGGTCATCCTAGGGAGTCTGGAAAGCCATGTCTGTGTAGAGTCTTGCTTATAGATGTGTTATGCACCACATTTATAAGCAGAAGGCTACGTGGCATTTAGGAGTTGTCCCTTTCTTTTCATTCTTTAGATCGTGCCATAGAGCTAAATTTTGTAGGTGGAGCATGCTTAACCTCTTAATTTTTTTTATAGTACAAATGCTGCAGAAAATCAAAAGTAAAAGCAAAGGAAAGAAAGTAGAAGTGGCGGCTGGAGAGGCCAACTAGACTACCCCAGGTGAGTCCCAAGATGAGTCTCCATCACAAATATTCCCAACTCCTCCACTTCCTGATGAGTTGAGAAGGGATGGAGTTCCCCAAGAACCACCTACAGAATCTATCGTGCAAGATTTGAGGAATGCAGTTCAATTATTGACTCGTATAGTTGCTGGCCAAGGTCAAAGGCAAGAAGGCCTAGTTGCGGGTATTGGTGGTGCAGATAGGGCACCTAGCACTCGGATACGTGATTTCCTTAATTTCGACCCTCCATCATTCACCGGGTCAGATCTTAATGAAGATACGCAAGACTTTATTGATCAAATCCAACGAACTTTGGATGTTATGCACGTGAGTAGTAAAGAAGCTATTGAGCTAGCAACATATAGATTAAAGAGTGTGGCTATATTATGGTATGAAACTTGGAAGCAATCTAAGAGTACAGATGCACCTCCAGCTACTTAGAAAGAATTTAAAAAGGCGTTTCTTGATCATTATTTGCCATTGGAGATTCAAGAGGCCCGCGCAAATGAGTTCTTAAATCTTCACCAAGGGCGTATGAGCATGAGAGAGTACAGTCTCCAATTTAATTCCTCGTCTAGGTATGCTTCCAATGTAGTTGCTACTATGGAGGATAGAGTTCATCCATATGTGGATAGATTGGATTTGTATCTGGTTAGAGATCGTACTATTGCTTCTTTAAATAAAGACATGGAAATAGCAAGGATGCAAGATTTTGCACAGAAATTGGAGGATCGAAAGTAGAGAATAAGGGCACAAGAGACAGAAAGGGGGCAGTCCAAGAGGGCTAGGTCTACTGGGCAGTTTACACAACCTCAAGGTGAGTTTAAGCCTCAGTTTTCTAATAGACCAACTAGGCCGTCATTTCCCTACTCTACAGCTAGCGCTCCACTACAATTTCAAGGGCCGAGAGGCAATTAGTTTAGGCAAAAGAGTGAGAGCCGAGGTTCACGGACAACAGGATATCCAGAACAGGGCAGTACAAGCCAATCATTGACTCCTAGGCAGCCTTGTAAACAATGTGGGAGGAGTCATCTAGGTATATGTCGTATTGGAACAGACGCCTCTTATTGGTGTGGTATGCCAGGGCAACTCATGATAAATTGCCCTAAAAGGCGCATGAGTGATATAGCACAACCTACTGGATCAGCTGTTGCATCGTTATCATCGATGCCTCATTTAGGTAGAGGTCTACGGGTTCCTACAGGTCCTGGTAGAGGTGTTAGAGGAGCAGCTAGTTCTAGAAGAGTCCAAAATCGCACATATGCTCTAGGGAGTTGACAGAACTTGGAGGCTTCACCTGACATAGTAACAGGTACATTGTTCATCTTTTCACATAATGTATATGCGTTAATTGATTCTGGTTCCACACTATCGTAAATCACTCCACTAGTTGCTGGGAAGCTTAAAAGAATGCAAAAATTATTGAATAAACCATTTGAAGTGTCTACACCAATCGGTGAGTCTATTCTAGCAAGAAGGGTCTATTGTAACTGCATAGTAACTGTTTGTGATCGTGATACATTGGCTGACCTAATTGAACTAGAAATGGTTGAATTTGATTTTATAATGGGTATGGATTGGTTGGCTTCTTGTTATGCCACGGTGGATTACCGAACTAAGAGAGTGCACTTTCACTTTCCAAACAAGGCAGTCCTTGAATGGGAAGGCAATGTTGCAGCGCCAAGGGGTAAGTTTATTTCTTATTTGAAGGCGAGGAAGATGATGTCAAAAGGGTATATATGGCATCTAGTTAGAGTGAGAGACGTGGAGGCAGAACCACCGACTCTTCAATCTATTCCGGTAGTAAATGAATTAATTAATGTGTTTCCTGAAGAGCTTCCAGGTTTACCCTCAGAACGAGAAGTAGAGTTTGGTATTGATTTAATTCCAGTCACTCAACCTATCTCTATTCCTCCGTATAGAATGGCCCCGGCAAAATTACGTGAATTAAAGGAACAATCAAAGGACTTGTTAGAAAAGAGGTCTATAAGGCCTAGTGTATCCCTATGGTGTGCACCAGTGTTATTTGTACATAAGAACGACAGCACATTGAGAATGTGTATCGACTACCGACAATTGAATATAGTCACGATTAAGAATAAATATCCCCTCTCCAGAATTGATGATTTGTTTGATCAGTTACAAGGCACCAAGTGCTTTTCAAAAATTGACTTGAGATCAGGTTATCACCAAGTGAGGGTGAAGGAGAAGGATATACCCAAGATAGCTTCTCGAACACGGTATGGTCATTCCGAATTTCTCGTTATGTCATTTGGGCTAAGAAATTCACCAGCAATTTTTATGGATTTGATGAATAGGGTGTTCAAGCCATTCTTGGATGTATATGTGATAGTATTTATATATGATATCTTGGTGTATTCAAGATCAGAATAGGACCATGCAAATCCGTTACAACAGGGATTATAAGTTTTTCGTGATCGGCGGTTGTATGCCAAGTTCTCCAAATGTGAAATTTGGTTAAAATTAGTGGCGTTCTTGGGTCATATTGTATCTGATGAAGGAATAAGGGTTGATTCACAAAAGATAGAGGCCGTGAAAGATTGGCCAAGACCAACAACACCGACAGAGGTTTGTTGCTTCCTAGGGTTGGCAAGTTATTATAGAAGGTTCGTTGAAGGATATTCTTCTATTTCTGCATCTTTAAGTAAGCTAACACAAAAGGCAGCTAAGTTTCAGTGGAATGATGCATGTGAAAGAAGCTTACAAGAGTTGAAAAGTAGGCTAACTTCCGCACCTGTATTAGTACTTCCCGAAGGTACAGAGGGGTATGCAGTATATTGTGATGCATCAGGGGTTGGTTTAGGATGTGTACTCACGCAGCATGGTAGAGTAATTGCTTATGCCTCAGGACAACTGTGGCCACATGAGAGAAACTACCCAACACATGATCTTGAACTAGAAGCGGTTGTATTTACTTTAAAGATTGGCGCCACTATTTATATCGGGTTTACGTTGACATATATACAGATCATAAAAGTTTGCAATACATCTTCAAGCAGAAGGATCTGAATTTGAGGCAGCGAAGATGGTTAGAGCTAATAAAAGATTATGATGTTGATATACTATACCATCCAGGGAAAGAAAACGTAGTAGCCGATGCTCTTAGTTGCAAGACAATATCAAGTATTAATGAGCAAACCATGGAAAAAGAAGGGATGGTGAGGGATCTATGTCAACTAGCTAGTTTGGGAGTTCGTCTTCTTGAAACCCCAAAAGAAGGGATTGTAGTGCATAATGTGGCAGAATCTTCATTAGTAGTTGAGGTGAGAGAAGAAGTTCAAAGATCCTACTCTACAACGACTTAAGGAGAAGGTAAATCAAGGTACGACAAAGGAATTTGAGGTTACACAAGAAAGGGTATTTTGTTGTCAAAACAGATTGTGTGTACCTAATGCTAATGGGCTAAGAAGGAGGATAATGACAGAAGCACAACATTCAAGATATTCCATCCATCCAGGATCAACTAAAATGTACCATGACTTGAAAGGAGTGTATTCGTGGGGGGACATGAAGAAGGACATTGAAGAATTTGTTGCACAATGTCCAAACTGCCAGCTAGTCAAAGTAGAGCACCAAAAGTCGGGAGGTTATATGTAGTGTATGGAGATTCCAACTTGGAAGTGGGACATGATCAACATGGATTTTGTCATTGGTTTGCCTTGCTCGTTTTGTAAGTTTGACTCCATATGGGTAATAGTTGACACACTCACAAAGTTAGCACATTTCTTGCCAGTTAAGACTGATTCTACAGCTGAAGAGTATGCAAAGTTATATATTAAGGAGATAGTTCGGCTACACAGGGTTCCAATCTCTATTATATCTGATCGAGGAGCTCAATTCACTGCATAGTTTTGGAAATCATTCCTAAAGAGTTTGGGAACACAAGTTAATTTAAGTACAACCTTCCACCCTCAAACGGATGGTCAAGCAGAACGCACAATCCAAACACTTGAGGATATGCTTCGAGCTTGTGTCTTAGGCTTCAAAGGTTGCTGGGATGATCATTTGCCACTTATTGAGTTTGCCTACAATAATAGTTATCATACTAGTATCAAAATGACACCTTATGAAGCTTTATATGGAAGGAAGTCCAGATCACCAATTAGCTGGTTTGAAGTAGGCGAAACTATTTTATTTTGAACATACTTTATTCTTCAAGCTATGGAAAAAGTTAAGGTAATACAACAGCGGCTAGCAACAGCTCAAAGCTGACACAAATCATATGAATATGTTAGAAAAAGAGGATTAGAGTTTTCTATAGGAGATTGGGTGTTCTTGAAAGTATTGCCAATGAAAGGGGTAATGAGATTTGGTAAAAAGGGAAAGTGGAGTCCATGCTACGTAGGTCCATATAAGATTATTCGAAGAGTTGGCAAAGTTTCATATGAGTTAGAGCTACCTTAGGAGCTTTCAGCAGTTCATCCGGTGTCATGTCTCAATGCTTCGGAAGTGCGTAGGTGACCCATCATATATCACTCCTATTGAAGATGTACAAGTTACAGGGCATCTCACCTATGAAGAAGTGCCTATTGCTATTCTGAATTGTCAAGTTAAAAAGCTAAGGAATAAAGAAATGGCTTCAGTAAAGGTGCTTTGGAGGAACTAACAAGTGGAAGAAGTAACGTGGGAAGCTGAGGAAGCAATGAAATACAAGTACCCTTATTTATTTGAACCTAAAGGCGAAGTCCAAGGTGCAGAATGGGGGCATTAATAGATACACATGAAAGGGTATTTTTTATGTGGTTAACAGTTGATTTAAACTAAGGTTTGAACTTATTTAAACTAAGGTTTGAACTTATTTAAGCTATCTGATTATGCTAGCATTCGAGGATGAATGTTCCTAAGGGGGGGAGGATGTAACACACCGTATTTTACGTGTACAAGTCCAACACATATGGAACTTGATTTAGCTTGGTGGTATAAGTAATGAACTTGATTTCCTAGATGAATGGTGACAATAAAGAAGCGATGAGGGTAACTCCCGTACATTGTAATATTTCACGATCTAGTGAACGTTAAGTTTTAGAAGTATTTCAATTCTGGATCGAAGGGCTATATGTAAGTCTAAAAGATAAGGTGATCAAGTGTATATAAGTTTTGAGTTAAACTAAGGAGATTACACTCGGAAAACAAATAAAAGAATTGAGGTGCTTGCTGGACTTTATAAAGCTAGCAGGTGTCACTTACTTGCTTAGCTCAAATGGGCTAGGTAGATGGGGAAGATTAGTTCATGCATTAGTGGGCTCACTTGAGGCCCAAATTAAATAAAAAGGAAAAGGGAATGGAGATGAGGCCTCACGCCAATCTGTCCAAGTCCAACTACTTGAGCCCAATAAAGACTAAGGCCCAGATTAAGGGTATAATTCAGGGCCATGTCTTAATATTAGAAAGGGGAAATATTGCAGCCCAAGATGAGTACATAAAGGGCCCATTTTGTGTATATATAATTCCAAGCAAGTGCATCGCCTACTTAGACCAATTTGACAAATTAGTGGCTGATATTAAAACTTAAGAGGTGGGGAAAAGTAAGACCTTTATAATCCCCAAGTTGCTGGCCATTTCCTCACTTTTAAGAATAGATAAAAGTCAGATTTCTCTCTAAGCTTCTCCTCTCTCTTTCAAAGCATAGCAGCAGCCACAAGTTTCCTAAGGTTCTTGGATAAACCCAAGCCCTTGCAAGGTAAGATAAGTGGAATTACTAATGGAATTAGCCTAATTCTCTCATGGAATGCTAGATAAACATGTTAATTAGTTAAGAACAAGTAGAGGACTGAACCTTTCAAAAGTTTAATTGCTCACTTTCCTTTGTTATTAAAAGGCTTTTCTCTTTTTGTTTGGCCTATGTGAAGGGAAGCTCAAGTTATTGAAGAGTTCAAATTTAAAGAAAAATGAGTTATAAGAATTAAGGTAAAGTGACTGCACTATCTTTGTTTTCCGTAAACACGAGTCTAAGAATGATAATTTAAGTGTATTATTGATAAGAACTCGTGGGATAATGATGGGAAACTGTGGTTTCACGTCCTCTATTGTATGTTGGATTGTTATGACTGATTTTGGGACAGGTTGATGTATAAGCATATTGGGGACAACTTGGTTGATATCTTGAAAGGGTGTAAATTGTTGATATTGAAATATAGTTGTGTACTGTACAAATGCAATAATAGAAGGCGGGGATTGAAAGAACAGCCTTAGTTTGGTAATTACGGGTTTGCTGTCCGATAATTATTGTTGAATGAGATTGGACTGCCTAAGCATGT